TCTCCTGAATTGGTTTTTTTTTAAAAAAAAAAAACTTTAAAGTATCATTTAAGAGTCTTAAATTTGGTCAACCATTTGGTTTTGATTAAATTGTAAAATGACAAACGAATTGCGATTACGCCAATAATCAGTACTTTCTGACCAAAAGAAAGCCAATACTGATAGCATCAACAGCAGCATTACATGAGTGTTGACCAAACCTAAGTTTGACAGAAAACCCAGTCAACTAATAAAAGAAATAGCACCATACAATCAGTGTTTGATCTCTGTCTAAATTGTTGTTTCCGACCAAACATGATTTTTGCACATACAAAATTTAAAAAAAAACAAACAAACAAGAAGAAATCAAAGTAGAAAATAAAATAGTTTTATTATTTTGAGTACAAGGAATTAAAGCAATCCTCATATCATATAAAACCCTTTCACATTTCATTCTTTTTTCCAATCAAACCATTTCTTATCTTCCATCGTCTGGCCTTGAGTCAAGTATATCCCATCATCTTTGGCTTTCCATACGCAATGAGCTCCACCACAATCGTAAATAAACTCATACTTGGCTTTGAAGGCGTCAAAAACGTTATGGTAGTCCTTATACCAGAAGTTGCAAAAGTACAGTGTCGAACTGATCATGTTGACACGAAATTTCCATTCGTACTGCTCGTTAGGAGCGAGAGTATGGAAACCAATATCGTTGTCATTGGATTTACAATGAGATGTGAATGATTGGTTATTGCTGAGGTTGTTGACGATGCGCACGAAGTTCTTTGTGAAAGGTGTCGACGGCCATCGCCATGGATTACTTAGACCAAATGATAAGGCAAGGAACAACACAACACAATACAACTGCCATATTCCTTTTGATCCCTTCATTATTTTTCAATCTTGATCACTGGGAGAGTCTGATATGGATAGACTGGGGCATTTGCATTCCTTGTGCTTTTATAACAAAAAGACCATGTTGCTTCTATTTATCATTGTTGTCATTTTCTCTACCCTGTAATTAATACAGATTTTTTTTTCCCCACAATCACACCGGGTGCAAAGTATTTAGATTAGGTGATATAGATGGTAGATGTTTTCTACCGTATAAGGAGGTTTTTATTTAAAATAAGAATTTTTCTATTCTAGATTGTAAACCATTGATCGAAAATTGTTTAGTTTTTAGGTTATCTTTCA